TAATATAAAACTAATATAATATCAATAAAATAATATAAAATAATGTTTAAAAATATCTATAATATTACAATATAAAAGGCATTGCTCTAGACTGGTACCAAAGTCTGAACCCTTAGCCTAATGTTTACAATGATTATGCTGCCCCAAACCGAAGTTTTAAGCATCTATTTAAAGCTTGATTTAGTACTCCTAAACAGAAAGCAGTTTGGCAAAAACAATTATTTGATATCAAACAAGAAACAGACAGTGTTGATGCTTATGTAAATAGATTTAGATCTCTACGAAAGAAAATAGACCCCACTACAGTCTTTTCTGCTGTCTTTGTTACTTAACTCTTTATTCAAGGATTACGACCAGAATATGCTATCAATGTTCAAGCATCTGAATCAGCAGACCTAGATGCTGCCATCACTGCTGCTTGATGATAGAAAACTGAAAAGCTTATGGCTACTGCTATGCCTTCAGAAACAGACCAAGCTATTAAGCAATTAACTAACCAAATTGCTCAACTTAGTATTAATCTAGCTCAGCAATAACAACCTGCTTCTACCACTTCTGTAAACTATGCTGAAGCCCCTACCTAAGCACTTCGACTTAAATAACCACCTACTTGTTTTTATTGTAGATGCACTGGACATTTTATTTCTAATTGTATTACTAAAAAGAGAAATAGAGAATAAAGACAAGGCTCCTATAACCGAAGACCTACTAGAGACAATTGACACAATTATTCTCGATCCAGAAGTCAAGATCATCCTCGAAATAGAAGCCAATCTCATGAATAAAACTACTATTCATCAAATTATCAAAGAAATAGAAGCTCTGAATGCTCTAGATATTCCTTCAACTGATCTTCTTCTTTATACTATCATAATGTCCACTATCTTGATCAGAATCAGACACCTTCTTCTTCTTTTTCAATTAGTTTACAAAAATGAAAAACTTGTTAGCCAACTCTTTTATTCGCACTGCATTTTTTGCACATTTAAGTAAAAAAGCTAAGAATGCCAATATTATTACATCATCCACTCACACTATACCTGTTAAATGCAATATCCAATTTAGAAACAGACCCTACCAAGCTATAATTGACAGTAGTGCTTCTGTAAGTATGATTGCTTACAAGGTAGTTAAAGAATTAGGATTAAAAATCAAACAAGCCTCTTCTAGTTTTATTATATCAGCTACTAGTAATTCTACTAGACTTTTAGGAGTCATTTGAGATTTACCTATTACTATAGACCAAATTACTATCCCTGTTACTGTCAAAGTAGTAGATGTTACTTTATATTCTCTTCTTCTTGGCAATGACTGGTTCAAGAAAATTGAAGCTAGTTACAACTAGAAAAATAAATACTATTCTTTTAAGTGGAAAGGTAAAAAGCATGCCATTCCTACTAACTATGAAAATGACTAACCACTCTTAGCTCAACCTATTGTTACTAATCCTGATGAGCTTGAGCTTTATGAACAAGAATATCTTACACCTTTGGAAGCATATGCACTTGATGCTGAACTTGCTGAACTATTCTCTAGCAATAGTTTAGAAGAATGAACTGTTTACCAACCCAAGTGTAAAACCAGACAACCTAAAGCACATGTATGTGGAAACTGTGAATTACCAAATCATCTTTTCACACAATGTTCTACCAACCTTTGTAATTGTTGCCAACAATCTGAACATACCGCCACTTACTGTCCTCAACAACTACCAAAAAGAGCTAGCTGTCACATTTGCAATCAACCTGACCATCTCTATAGAGCCTGTTCACAAAATATTTGTAACTTATGCAACAGTTATGGACATATTAGCATTGATTGTCCTTTGGCTAACCTTCAGAAGCAAAACCATTCATATAAGTGTGGCTGTAACTCTGAAATAATAGAATCCCAAAGACTACCCTATTATAGTCATAGACATACTCACCATTGCTGCCAATGCCATGTTCCAGAAAGACCTGAATCTCTAAGAGCTCTTAACAACTAACTCTTCTGTGGTGCTTGCTATTTTGACTTTCACTATGCTCTTGATCAAGAAGACCCTTGAAGTATTCAGTTTTATACACAAGAGAAAGGTCATAGACTACTTGTAGAATGTAAAGTATGCCAAAAAGCAAAACCTTGTTCTCAAATATACCAACTAGAAAGCCTTAGTAAAGAACTTTGGTTTTGTGAGCTTGAACACTTATATGCTTATAAAACTAGACAGGATGTTCTTTATAATCCTAACTACAATTTATGAACAAGAATCAGACATTATACAGAATCTAACCAAAGTGCTGGATCTCAATATGATCTAAACCAAACTCATATATATTATTTTGCTGCTGTTCTTTTCCAAGAAAGTGATTAGACTATTATTAAAGCTCTTGAACCTCAAGTTGGTGATCATTTTAGCCAACTCTGGTCTAATGATAACATAAAACTAGTATTACAAGAAGAACAAGAAACCCTTGAAGAGGATGATGAACTTCTTCTTCAACAAATGTTAGATGAGTCCTTTGACACTAGCCATCCTAAATATAATTGACAATTCACTCTTGCTATCTTACATCACAATTTTAGTACCTCTGTTGACCTTTGTAAAGAATGCTTACATGTTAAGCATCAAAAAGAATTGGACCAACATGAAGGATACTATAGTGATTGTGATACTGCATTAGCACATTCACCAAACAACAAACTTACTTCAGAACTAGACCCGATTCATATTAAACCTCTTATCATAATGCAACTCCAGTTGGATCAACAAGCTCAACTTATCCAACAATTGCAAACACAGATTTAATCTCTGCAAGACACCAATGCACAAATCCTATAATTCTTTCAAAACCATTTTCAACATATTAGGCAACAAAAAAATGTCCTTGAAACTCTTTTAAGACCTCAAAATTTTTAAATAATCACAGGCAAGATGAAAAACTACCTGATAACTTAGACAAGCCTGAAACAAATCTTAGCAACCTTATACCCCAAATGGTGTGTTCTATTGAGACCTATATTCCTTATGAAGAATACACCTTAACTTCTGAAACAGCTGTAAATATTGAACTCTTATAACCAGAACAAGAACAAAAATTTAGAAGACTATTAGAAAAATTTTCAGACTTTTTTGCATCGGATATAACTGAATTAGGTCATACTAATTTGGTTACTCATAAAATCTATACAGAAGAGGTTCCTTTTATCCGATTACACCCTTATTCAATGCCATCTACAGAACAGACATTTATAAAAGAAGAAATACAAAAAATGCTTGATAATAAGCTTATTAGACCTTCTAGTAGCCTCTGAACTTCTCCTATTGTACTGGTATAAAAGAAGAATAGAAAATTATATTTCTGTGTAGACTACAGAAAACTTAATGCTGTTACAAAGAAGAATGCATATTTTTTACCTTGAATAGATGAAATGCTGAATGCACTTGCTAGATCAATATGGTTCTCTATCTTAGATCTTGCTAATAGATATTTGCAAATTGATATGGATCCTAAAGACCAAGAAAAAACTACTTTTATTACTCGATATGGCATTTATGAATTTAATGTAATACCTTTTGGATTTTGCAATGCTTCAGCAACCTTTCAAAGATTAATGAACTGAGTTTATGATGAAATTGCATGTAAATTTGTAGTAGTATACTTAGATGACACTATTGTCTACTCAAGAATATTTGATAAGCATCTTGAACATCTATGGAAAGTTTTTACCAGAATTCGAAAGGCTGAATTATGTCTTAATATTGAAAAATGTAATTTTTGAATGCAGAGCCTACCTTTCTTAGGCCATATTATATTAGAAAATGGAATTGCTTCAGACTCTCAGAAGATAGAAGCTGTTCACAATATACAATCTCCTAAAAATGTATCCCAACTTAGATCTTTCCTAGGACTTGCTGGATATTATAGACAATTTATCCAAAACTTTTTAAGTGTAGCCAGACCTCTTAATTATTTAATGAAAAAGGATACTGCATATGAATAGTGCTCCAAACAACAAAAAGCCTTTAATGAATTAAAAAAAAGACTAACTATTGCTCCTATCCTAGCTTATCCTGATTTCAAGTATCTTTTTATATTAGCTACTGATGCTTCTTATTATAGCTTTGGTGCTACACTCAGTTAAATAGAAAAAGATGAAAGAGAACATCCAATTGTTTATGCAAGTAAAAGTCTTCAAAAAGAAGAAATGAACTATGGTGCTACTGAATTAGAATGTGCTGCCATAGTTTAGGCAATCGAACATTTTCATAAATACCTAGGAACTGCAAAGTTTATCCTTATTACTGACCATTATGCTCTTAAATAGTTAAGAACAGCTGAACCTAAAAGATGAATTGGAAGATAGATACTTAAATTACAACTCTAAAATTTTGAAATTATTCATAAACCAGACTGAGTTCATTCCAATATAGATGCATTCTCAAGACTGTCAACTCAGACACTACTCATACCATTCCAATGAATTTGGATCAATATATTAATTTATATAATTATTTAGAATCAGACACATTACCTAAAGAGTAATAAACATAAACAAACTATAGTACATGACAGTAAAAGACATCCAATCAATACATATAGGTGCCAATTTTTGGTTCTTATATGATCAATTTTGATTGGCTAATTTTTGTGTAATTGATTTTGATTGGTTAAAAATATATATATGTTTTCTTTTTTTTTATATTAAACGCCAATTTTTTAAACTCATATAAACTTTATTCTTTTATAACTTTTTTAAAACAAAGAATAAAAAAAAATCCTTTGACAGAAATGTAGTTTATCCAAAAATCTATCAATTTGTCAGAGGTTTTTTTGATTTAATCTGTTTTAAAAAAGTTATAACACTTCAAAGTTTTTATTAATAAACATTAGATATCTTTTACTGTCCAGTACTGTACCTCTTCTTTTTACAAATTTGCTAATATAAAGGTCAATTCTTCAAAATTAATACTAATTACAAACTTAACAGATAGATAACTTCATATTCTTTGACAAAGAACAACTAATAGCAAAACAACTAATTTGACAAGCTGGACATTTTGAAACAAAGCATAGACTATTATATAAAAATAATAGAAAAGACTCTATTCATCCTCTTAGAGTTATTAAATGGACTGAAGTAGAACTTATCTTATACATAATGCATAAACATTCTACTGCCAGATATTTAAGAACAGATGCCATGTATTATAAGATCGCTGAACAATATTATTGGGACCAAATGTATAGAGATGTACAAGAATATGTTCGAACTTGTACAGAATATTAACAATGACAAAAGAAATGAAAAAAGGAACCTCTTCATTCTATTAAAATAGGATAAGCCTTTGAACGACTTGGTATTGATTTAGTAGAACCTCTTCCTCTTACTAAACAAAATAATCGCTATATAATTGTTGCTACTGAATACCTAACACAATGGCCAGAAGCCTGAGCTATGCCTGATGCTGGTGCTGCTACATTAGCACAATTCATTTTTAAAGAAATAGTTTGTAGACATGGAACCCCAAAAATTATCTTATCTGATCAAGAATGAAACTTTATTAGTGAAACTATCTGCATATTATGTAAAAGGTTTTTAATCAAACATAAATTCTCATCACCATACTACCCACAAACAAATAGCATAGTTGGATAATTTAACTGAACACTCTGTGAATTGCTTGCTAAAGTAAAAGGAACAGATGATTGAGACATTTATATTCCTGCTATATTATTAGTATACCAAACAAAGAAGCATGCTACTACTGGATATACTTTATTTTAACTTATTTATGGTCGACAAGCTACACTGCCGATTGAAGCTTTAATATTTGTTAAACCACCACCAGAAAGTAGCAAAGATATTAACTTACAAGACAGTATTCTGCATAAAGCTTATAAGCTAATAGACAAATTGTCTCAATGGCAAGAGAATGCAAGAAACAATACTGATAAGTCACAACAGAAACAAAAACAATACTTCAATGCAAAAGTTAAAATACAAGAATTCGAAGTAGGTGCCAAAGTATGAATCTAACAGAAGGAACTAGAAATGTTAAGATCAGCAAAATTTGAGAATAAACGACTAGAACCATTCATAATTCACAAAAAATTAGGAAATAGTACTTATAAGTTATAAAATAAAGAAGGAAAAATCTTACAAAACTATTACAATAGTGATCAATTAGCAAAATATTATAAGAAACAAACTTGGGAACCAATAGTTGTTGTTGAAACTTAGCAAATTTCTGGAAGAAATTTAATTTGGAAGGGAGTGACACAATGAAAAACATTTTGAAAATTTTGCATTACTTTAAAATATATATATAGACAATCTAACCATGCAAATTTCCCTAAATTAACAATTTGGTTATTTAAAAATGAATATTATTATTCTGCAATCTAACATTATTTAGGCTTTACAAAATTTTATTTCCATTTGGAGGCAAGATCTTGCTGCTCAATACAATTTAGGAATTTTCTCCTAAAATGTAATAATATAGGATAACCAAGTGCCAGACCAAGTTATCAATATTTTATCACAGCTTGAAAAAACAGCTTTAAATAAAATTGATCAACTTATTGGAAGTTTGGATGAACCAATTAGTAATTCAATTCCTATTATAGAAAAAAAATTAGATGAACAAAATCCTCTTACAAGAATAAAGAAAGACCTCATGCAACCTCTTGAACCTCAGAAAGCCTCTTGAATCTCACCTTTCAAAGAAACAACTTGGAAGGAAAAACTTAATGATATTTTGGAAAAACTTCCTACTCATGCCAAGTCAAGAGAAAATCAGATCAAAACTCTTGAAGCTTACTATTATTTGGGAACTCTTATTCAAGAAAATGAAGCTAACCAGGAACAGATTAAAGAACGAATACAAGAAACCAATAGTGCTTGCAAAGCTCGAGACATTTGGAAAGGAGCTTATCGCATTTAAAAGATTTTTACTCTTTGACTAAAAGCTATAATCTATCAGACAAAATACTTGGCTGCTACACAAGTTGTAAGGCTTACAGACAAGGATTTCACTTCTTTGATTAAAGACTTAGAAGATAAATTTGCAGAGCAAATTTCTTAAAGGAACAGAAATATTATAGAATGAATTTTATTATTATTATATTTTAGTATAGTTTTATGAATGTATATTTTATTAATTGTTAGTAGTATTATTATTATTATTATTATTATTAGTATTAGTTATTATTATTTAGTTATAGTAGGTAGAACAAATACAATGTTTGACATATGACACTTAATGCTTGATGCTTGATGCTTGATGCTTGATGTTTAATGCTTGACACTTGATGCTTGACACTTGACATATAATGCTTAATGCTTGACACCTAACATCTGACACTTTATTCTAATAATTATTAAGCTTTGACGCTTAGCTTTAATGATTGTTAACAGATATATAAACTCCAAGAATTTCTCCAAGTCAAGCAAGTTACAGACACTCCTCTTCTTTCTACCTTTTAGTTAGTAACTCCTGTAAAGTATAAAAGGATTCCTTAAGAACAGAAACCTAACAGATAGCCTTATTCCTTTAATAAAGTTATTACCTTTATCTATAAACTATATTGATATTCTTCTTCTAAGGTAATTTCTACAGGCAAGGTCTATCACTTCCAAGTTAATAAAGTTATAAACTGTTGTATTGTCTTAACTGAACTGCCTAGAGAAGAGTATAGTTGCTAAATAGTTA